TCACATAATATAAACCTGGTTTCACACTGGTTCCACACTGTAGAAACCTGGTTCCACACTGTATAAACCTGGTTCCACACTGTAGAAACCTGGGTCCACACTGTATAAACCTGGTTCCACACTGTATAAACCTGGTTTCACATAATATAAACCTGGTTTCACACTGGTTCCTCACTGTAGAAACCTGGTTCCACACTGTATAAACCTGGTTCCACAGTGTAGAAACCTGGTTCCACACTGTAGAAACCTGGTTCCACACTGTAGAAACCTGGTTTCACAGTGTAGAAACCTGGTTTCACATAATATAAACCTGGTTTCACACTGGTTCCACACTGTAGAAACCTGGTTCCACACTGTAGAAACCTGGTTCCACACTGTATAAACCTGGTTCCACAGTGTAGAAACCTGGTTCCACACTGTAGAAACCTGGTTTCACAGTGTAGAAACCTGGTTTCACAGTGTAGAAACCTGGTTCCAGACTGTATAAACCTGGTTCCACACAGTATAAACCTGGTTCCACGCCGTAGAAACATGGTTCCAGACTGCAGAAACCTGGTTCCACACAGTATAAACCTGGGTCCACCAGTATAAACCTGGTTCCACACAGTAGAAACCTGGTTTCACATAGTAGAAACCTGGTTCCACACAGTAGAAACCTGGTTCCACACAGTAGAAACCTGGTTTCACATAGTATAAACTTGGTTCCACATAGTATAAACCTGGTTTCACACAGTACAAACCTGGGTCCACCAGTATAAACCTGGTTTCTCATAGTATAACCTGGGTCCACACAGTAGAACTTTGGTTCTAGACAGTAGAATCTAGGTTCCATGCAGTAGAAACTTTGTTGCAGTTAGTACAAACCTGACTGAATCTCATAAGATGTCATTTTTTTTAAAGAACAATGGAACAGTTCTGGGTCTTGGTGATTTTTGTGACTCTGTATGAACTCGTAACAGAAAAACACAAATTACAGTTCAGTTTTTGCTCTGCACCTCCACCCCTCCCCCTCTGCAGGCATGAWGATCATGTATGTGCACGATGACACAGAAACCCTGGAGGACACGGTGCTGCTCCGGCTGACAGATGGCGTCCACATGGTGGAGGGGACGGCTCGGGTCACCGTGCTGCCGGTCAACGACAACAAACCACAACTGCTCAAGTACACACACACACACACACACACACACACACACACACACACACACACACACACACACACACACACACACACACACACTGTGAGCTGCTGTTTAAAGCTCTTTAATCTCTTTAATGAGATGTCTGTAGAACAATGACACTGGGAGGTCAGGAGTCAAGGTGAGAAGCCTCATTTATTTATTTGATCATATTTATTATTAAAAGTGCATTTTACATTTTTAAAGAGTCAATAAAATATATTTTGATTAAACCTACGATGTTCCCAGATCAGCTGAGGGTTGAGGCTTTGTGCGGGGCTGTTAGAGGGGGGTCTGGTTCTGTAAAGCCCACCGAGGCAGAAGAACACACAGACTTGGCAGCAGCTGCTGTCCTCCTTGTCGTTGTGGTTCCTGCAGGATGAACGTGGCAGCTTTTGTCCTGCATGGATTTTATTTCCAAGTGAAGAAACAAGCAGCCAGACGGTTCCTGATGTTCAGCTGCCCCAAAATAAAACACCAGCAGCACCGACCTGGGTCTGCATGGTCCCTCAGGAAGAACCTGCACACGAGCAACTTCCTGCTTCTTCAGTTCAATGAACTTTATTTTCCACTGAGTCCACCATGTCCACAGAATACACAAGTCCACCATGTCCACAGAATACACAAGTCCACCATGTCCACAGAATACACAAGTCCACCATGTCCACAGAATACACAAGTCCACCATGTCCACAGAATACACAAGTCCACCATGTCCACAGAATACACAAGTCCACCATGTCCATTAAGTCTTCTGAGCAAGTTCTTTGTTGGCAGGTAGACTAATATTAGCTAGAAGAACATGATCTAGAACAAGACTGTTACTTTGTACAATCTGATTTGTCCCATTAGGTTTTGGAAATCTGACCACAGATTCATCATGTTTTAGAACCTCTGACTCGTCACATTATTGAACCTCTGACTCATCATGTTATAGAACCTCTGACTCATCTTGTTTTAGAACCTTTGACTCGTCACATTATTGAACCTCTGACTCGTCACATTATTGAACTTCTGACTCGTCACATTATAGAACCTCTGACTCGTCATGTTATAGAACCTCTGACTTGCCTCGTTGAAGAAACTCTGACTCATCATGTTATAGAACCTCTGACTCGTCACATTATTGAACCTCTGACTCGTCACATTATAGAACCTCTGACTCGTCATGTTATAGAACCTCTGACTTGCCTCGTTGAAGAAACTCTGACTCATCATGTTATAGAAC